ATATTAAGTATTAAGCATTTTTTCAAGATGGGTTAACCAGTAGCTGATTTATATATGACGTGTGTGTAAATTTAACACAAAAAGTAAGGGAATTTGTGTTTGGTGTTTGTTGTAAAAATGCTTCTTGGCATCACATCTTATACTGTTGAAAAACCAGTTAATTAGCTTGTTTAAAATGGTGTCACATTTGTAAGGAACATGCATTTATGGGATGAGCTGTAGAGCTGAGTATGTGGGTTGTGCACATAAATTTTTTTTGCCAGATCTTCTCTAGGTGTCAGCATAAGATTCATCAGCATTGTTACAGCAAAGATCTACCAAAACACATTTCCCTTTTGTCTTTACATATACTAAAGTCAGAATAAAACTGCTTCCAGTATTTACTATATAAATTCTTCTCACATCTAATCTCCTCTTTTATTGCCACTCTATATTTAAAAAAGCAACAGAAACYGCTAATTTTATTTATATTTAATTTCTGACAGGCAGAAAACACCAAATACTGCGATCATGTTGATCACAGCAGTTTGATCCTGCTTGTTTTCCTCTTAAAGAGAACAAGGTTGTTTGAAGAAAAAGGATGCGGAGTGATGCTGCTCCATTTCTCTTTGTATAATTGGTTCATAATTTTTCTGACTTCAAAAGATTAGAACTAAGAGTTTTAGAAAAAAWAACTAGAGAATGAAGCAGTACTAGATTGTTCCTGGTGTCTTTGGAGAATTGTGGTTCACATCTGGACATGGCTGAGATAAACAAATACCGTACTCTCAGCTTTATATGTGTGTGTCTGTGTGTGTGTGTGTGTGTGTGTGTGCGTGTGTGTGTGTGTGTGTGTGCACTGCCTCTGCACAAGTATGACTCATCCCTGCATAGTTTTAGTCTCACATGCAAACCATGCCCCCCACTTCTCCATAATAGCTGTTTTCAAGCTGTAACGTGACACCGTGTCGCTCACTTGTTGATGCTGCCAGAAGCTGAGGGGGCTCTCAGTCTGCAGCTTTTCATCCATTTTACAGTATTCAGTAAACAGTCACAAAAGCTGATGTGCTCACAAAATAAATAATAAATAAATAACAATAAAAACTAAATAAATAAAAATAACCTCTGTTTCATTGACACAGATGGGCACTTGCTCAGATACACACTCACAGCTATGCAGGCAGGAGGAATTTCAGACTGCAAGAATGAGTCACGCTTTGATTAAGTTCAGGCAGTCACCCACTCATGACAGATAAAGACACTCCGGATCCAGCCCTCCACCTCTGCTGTCCTACTGGCCCTCGCTCCACCCCTCAGCCCAGCATCACCACAGCCTGCCAGTGTCTCTTTGCTTTTCCTACAGCGCACTCTTTTACAGCCTCCCAGTCTCTCTGCCTTATCTAATCATCCCCCTCATTATCCCATGTCTCCTCATTTAATGATGATATGATCAGAAAACAAGCCTAACAATCACAATGAGAGAGATTTAAAAAAAGGAAGGAAAGTGACACGAGGACCACGGTTTTATCCTCGGCTGCATTTTGTCGGAGCGTAAACGATGGAAGCGAACGAATCACGCCAGGCCTCGGATGAGCCATGACACGGACACAGCCCGATGTGGAAAATACAGAAAGCGGCACTCTAAGGCCAATTCCATTAGTGTCATCATCTCTCATCGGCAAAAATGATTCATCTCAATTTGTTTTCTCATCCACCACGAACATGACTCATGTTCGGTTAGTGCAGGTGCAAAAAAAATWAAAAATAAAAAAATCAAACACAGAGTCAAGGCTGAGAGAACAAATCTCCTCCTCCAGCATCCACACAGGATGCAAGACAACTGCACAGATCAGAGAAACCCAGAGTGAAACAGTTCATTTGTTGATCCTCCTCAAATCCAAATAAGGAAAGATGAAATGTATGAAAACAGAATCTACATGTTTCATTTCTTATTGTTTTCAATCTGTTTCCCTCAAAGATGGGTTCCAGTAAATAGAATCAACCTGTAGTAGTTAACTAAATTTAATAACACAAACAATTTGACACATTCAGGTAGCATCTTGACATTTTAAGAGAGGCCTTCTTTCACTGAGTGGCAGATGAGTTGTTTTAGTATCACCAGGGCCAGTCCTGGCCAATGTGGCGCCCTAGGCAAGATTTCAGGTGGTGCCCCCTTGTGCCGTTTTCTAAATCTCACTGCTAATTTCCACCCATGGCTTCAGACACACGCCCCCCTAAACTCACTTACTCCTCTGGCTAATAAATGTGCTCTACGCAGAGTTTTTTTTAAATAAACACCACGGTGTGTCACATTGTTGATATAATATGATGTTTTTTCCCCTAATCTTCCCTTGTGTGGTTTTTAGTTTTTCTGTTGTTAATGTTAGCGCAACTGTGTTGACCGGTTTCGCCTGTTCCCCCATGTTTGCCTTGTATGTCTTCTTCTTGAATGGGTGTTTCTTAACTGCCCCCCTCCCCCCTTCCCTGAATGTACAGCACCTTGTGAATTTATTTCTGTGAAAGGCGCTATATAAATAAAACTTCACTTTACTTTACTTACTTTAATTAATTTACAAACATTTGCTTACACCAACTGGACTCTCCCTTAGAGATAGGGTGAGAAGCTCGGTCATCCGGGAGGGACTCAGAGTAGAGCCGCTGCTCCTCCACGTCGAGAGGAGCCAGTTGAGGTGGCTCGGGCATCTGGTAAGGATGCCTCCTGGACGCCTCCCTGGTGAGGTATTCCGGGCACGTCCCACCGGGAGGAGGCCCCGAGGAAGACCCAGGACACGCTGGAGGGACTATGTCTCTCGGCTGGCCTGGGAACGCCTTGGAGTTCCCCCGGAGGAGCTGGAAGAAGTGGCTGGGGAAAGGGAGGTCTGGGCCTCCCTTCTGAAGCTGCTGCCCCCGCGACCCGACCCCGGATAGGCGGAAGAAAATGGATGGATGGATGGATGGATGGATGGATGCTTACACCAAATTAAATATTTTTGTTTCTGATGTTGTGTTTTATCTTTAGAAACCAAGTTGTTTATAAATTTCTTAAACCTGAATAACCAGTGATCATTCTACAGACTAAATCGAATATGCTCTGATAAAAAGTCGTAAAAATCTTTTTGTAGTGACTCTTAGATGGACAACACCCATTAGCCAATACTGCCTATGCCGCTGGTGTCAGTGAAATATCTCCCAAACCAGTAAACTCTCAAAAATGAATCACAATCTGCTCTTCTAATTAGCTTCATTCAAGATGGCCGCCACATCTAATCAACCTCCCCAAACACATAAATGGCTCCACCTCTGTGTGCTTTTTACAGACATCAAGTTAAAATGTGACGTAGCTGAGAATCATTCACAGTACATCCGTGAAGATTTTGCGAGGTTCAGTTCATAGGGTCATTTTCAAAATTGAACCGAATGCTTTTCAACAAGACAAACTTGGTTTTAGAGGCCGTTAACCGTTTATGTCTTGCTGAGTTAATTTTTTTAACTCGTGGATCAAAATCAGGGAAGGATTTGAGGACAGCTCGTTGTAAGCACATCAGTAATGGATCTGACAGGGGGATGCACAGCTGCAACAATCTGCCGTGTCGCTGCTCCGTGTCTAAAACACGCCCTTCTGGATAAATACATGTCGCTCCACCTAGCTCCATCCTGCAGGATTATCATCTCTCAGCTCCACCGGGGACTGTGGAACCAATTAAGCAAATGGCTCTTTTGGCTGGAGTGGTCTGCACGGGAATATATAGTTTCACTGTTGTCGTCTGTGCAGTACGGGTTTGCTGTTTGTTTGTTTGTTGAAGTTGTGCTTGCAAACATGCAGATGCATGACCCTGCTGACACTCCTGCTGCCTGTGTGAAAACGAGCACATGCACTGAGTGATCTCCAGCTCAAAGCATGTGACAAAGAGAGGTTTTAGTTTTCACGTTTCTGGCTGCAGACGAACAAAGCTCGAACCAGACAACATACGGCCTGCTTTAAACCGAAGTGTGACCAAAGAATGGTTGATCTGATGGGAAACAGGTTGGGGTTCTGGGAGTCTCACCAGATACCACTGCTGGTTCCACATGGGATCATCGAAYAGCTTGTCCACGGGACAGTCCCTGCAGTCTCTGAGGGCCACCCGCTTGTTGCGTCTCTTCTCGTACTGCTGCTCGGCCCACAGCACCTGCACACACAAACAGGGACATCCTCAGAGGTCTTTCTTTACAGATGAGGAGACCCCCCCCCCCCCACACACACACACACACACACAAACACACACACACAGTCCCGGTCACTCACCCGATCATCCTCCGACAGCTGCCTGGTGATGTGCTCGCTGCTGCGTCTCATCCTGCGAGGATGGTTGCGGTGTCGGAACAAGAAGTGGTTTTCCAGGGCCCCAATCTGGAGATGAGACCCCCGTGTCAGAGAGGGAACATTGTTTCACGGGAACTTACATGCAATTTGACATTTTTTTTGTTTTTCTCCTTTACAGAAAGACCGTCTTTTTTTCTGTCACAGCTCAGCTTCTGTTACAAATTAGCTTGTGTAATGTGTTATCTAAGCAGCTGGTTCCATTTTTAAACAAGAACCTGGGAACCATGGTATTGGGCTAACAGCTGAGCTTTAAAGGGATCCACGATTAGTTGTAACATTAAACTTTGTTTGATAAACATTTATTTTAACTGTAAAATAAAAACTGTAAAAATACTGTAGGCTGTTTAGTTTTGCAATTTTTTTTTAAATATATTTTAACACAGGCGGAGCCAT